GGTCGGAAGCTCCTGTGCGACACATTCCACGATGTGACACTATTCGAGCGTTCAGGGTAAGGAGGATCAGATATTCTAGGAACCCTCGCAGCTCGCCGGCCAGAATCGTTCTCGTCTGATCCCGGCACTCGCTTCGGGTCAGATTTTTTGCTCCCATCTGTAGTATCTGTAGGCGTCGACTTGGTCACGGGTTTGCGGGATTTTGGCGTCGCACTGGTTCCGTGGTCAAATTCGCGTTTCTGCCTCGGTCCGTGCGCTTTTGCGCGCTTCGATCCTTGGGTTCTTGGACGGCTTCTCATACTCGGCGGCGTTCGAAATCACACTCCCGCGTTGGTCCTGTTCTACGCCGGCATAATCAAAGTTCTGGGCTGGGAAGTTAAGAGTTTAGGAGTTTAGGATGTGCAGGCTTGGGGAGGTTCGGGGAGCGGTGTGGTCGTTAGGAGCCGATGGTTCCGATTTTGTGGGATGTAAGGTTGCTATCGTTTTTGACGGGAAGCAAGCAAGAGAAACTTTGGAAGGGGGTCCGTACGTTCGACACTGCCGGACAGTGTAACTGTCAAATTGGGGCAGAAGGCCACATCAGGTTTCAGACATTTGGAACCAGGTTTCAGAGATTTAGAACCAAGAGACACTATACGGAAGGCAATGGCGAGGATTCTCATCACTTTTTTTGGGGCACAAGGCAACAGAGCTGACCTTCTGGAGGTTTCAGACATTTTGAACCAGGTTTCAGACGATATTTAGAACCCAGAGGCACTATATATGGAAGTGCACGACAGCGTAAAAGTCAATCGATGCAATGTCCTTCCCCTATAATTATACCCGCAACAAGGGGACCTAATCCGAGGCGCGCGAGAGATGCGCGTTGGGACCCAAGCCCACCCTGCGCCCGCCCCGCCCGTGCGCCCGCCATGTTCGGCACGGTGCGCCCACCGCACCCACCACACCCGCCGCGCCCGCCGCGCCCACCGCTCTCGACGCGCGCCCACCGCGCCCACCGCGCTCGCCGCGCCAACCGCTCGCCGCGACAGCCGTGCTCGCCCGCGACCGCCGCTCTGGCCTACCGCGCTCGCCACGCCCACCGCGCTCACCCCCACCACGCTCGCAGCGCCTACGCGCTCGCCGCGTTCGCCGCGCTCGCCGCGCCCGCTGCGCTCGTCACTCCCACCGAGCTCGCCGCGCCCACGGCGCTTGCCACGCCCACGGCGCTTGCCGCGCCCACCGCGCTCCCCGCGCCCATCGTGCCCACCGCGCCGCCGCACCCACAGCGCCCGCCGCGCCCGCCAGCGCCGCGCTCGCCAGCGCCACGCTCAATATTGCCCAGCGGCGTCCAAGGCATGTCCGGGGGGTGTTATAGGGCTGCGGGCACTGAGCCGTAGGCATGGCAAGAATGCCTTCCGACAAAATTTTCAAGCACACTGGCACAAGACAGCTGCACTCGCGGGATCGTTGAGGACAGCCCCTCGAACCCCCCGAGCCCCCAAGCCCCCGAACACCCGATCTTGAAGCTGCACTCCTGACCATCGAGAAAGCCATCCTGCCGCTGTCGTCCCGTGAGCTGGGGCAGTACACACCTGCAGCTTCTAACTTTCCTTACACCAACTCAAGAAAGCATCATACACCAACGTATGACGACGACAAAGATAGCTAAAATCCGCCGAGGCCTCGGGCCGGGTATCTGGGTTGCACAAAGCAAGCACCCACCCTCTAATTTCCCCACTACCCCTGTATTTGCACTTTTTGCCCAAAGTGCCCCCTCCGCCTAGCCGACCACGGCACACCCCCCTACTCCCCTCGCGTATCATGAATACTACAGACATCAAGCAAGCAATAATTGCACTTGCGGCAGTAATAACGTCAGCAATGCTACCTCGGACCCCCCCAAACCGTCTAGTAGTGAGCCCCTAAGCACAGGCACCTTCTAGGCTCTTAGCAGCTTTTCGGGGCACCGTTGCTATTGGAGGTGTGGCTCAGCTTCTTTTTGGTGAGAAGGACTGGCCGCCTGATGGACCATGACTCCATCGCGCCTTTTATTGTCTCTGGCTTCAAGTGGGTCCGTCTGAGGCTTTAGTGTAGTACGCTTAGGGCTCGGGCAAAGCAAACTGCCCCGGATTTTGCCCGAAAGCACGGCGGAGGGTTTTTCAGCGGAGGCGGTGTCGTTAAAGAGTGTCGTTATATGGATGATGTGATGGAATGGCGTGATGGATTTGATGGATTTCGCTGCGTGATTTCGTTGCATGATGGCTTGGGTGGGCTTTCCTTTTCAAACTAATATGTTTTAAAGCACGGGGTGGGGTAGGCGGGAGCCGCCGCACCTCGATCGGTAAAAAATGGAAAAACGACAACCCTCTGCGTGTTTTGGCGTTGTCGAAATGCAAAACCGATGACCCTCCGCGTGGACCCGGCGTGTCGCGATCGCGCGAACGACATCCCTTTGCTTGTTTTCGTGTTGTCGAAACGCAAAGCGATGACCCTCTGCGTGGACCCGGCGTGTCGCGATCGCGCGAACGACAACCCTTTGCGTGTTTTCGCGTTGTCGAAACGTCGTCGAAACGCAAAAACGATGACCCTCTGCGTGTGCGCGGGGTGTCGTGATCGCACGCACGACAATCCTCTGCGTGTTTTTGCGTTGTCAACACGCTGCCGAAACGCAAAAACGGTGACCCTCTGCGTGCGCGCGGGGTGTCGTGATCGCACGAACGACAACCCTCTGCGTGTTTTCGCATCGTCGAAACATTGTCGAAGCGCAAAAACGAGGACCCTCTGCGTGTTTCCGGCGTGTCGTGATCGCACGAACGTCAACCCTCTGCGTGTTAATTTTATTTGCGTTGTCGAAAATGGATTACGTGAAACTTCTTCGTTGTCGTCCTTCATCGTCGTTGACACAAGTATGGATGTCGTGGTGGATGGACGTCATGATTGATGATTGCTTAATTGTTCTAAATATTTCTTTAAAATACTGGGGTCTTAACCGCGAGTCTAAAATGCTTTCGGGACAACCGTTCTCTAGTTATAGACGTCGGTTGGATTCCTCGACCTGGATTACAACAGGAGCCCTAACATCTATACATATTTATACGCATACGCCTGAATCTGCGGTGCTCAAGCACGGTACACTGCGCAGCCTCACCGCCTAGCACCTGAGCCCCGAATGGCCCGAGCTTCCCAAAGATGGCCTTCCCATGCACTGGCCATGTCATCCTCAAAGGCCCTCTTGTTCCCGTTGCCAATGAAGGGGTAGATGGAAACTGGTACGCGAGTGATCTCACAGCACTCCTGACACGTGGTGGATTGACTGTGCTGAGAGGCCACCCTCACAGAGAAGAAACACAACAAAAGTGCGGAAAGTGCGGAAGACACTGACGAAGAAACCGGGTGGCACAAACAAGCCGCTTAGCCCCACTCGGCAGGGAGAGAACGCGCAATACCTGGACACACCTTTCCGCTTGCCATGCGTAGGGATATCATATTCGCACCCATGCTCCAAACCGAACCGGTGAACCTGCAAAGCTGACTCGGACAGCGGGCACAAATGCACCAACTGCTATTGCAAGTAGGTTGTATTGAAGCCCAATGCATGCCAGCCACGTACTTGAAGCGAATCCAAGCACCTGCCGGTGCAGTTCAGGAAAAGTATGCCCCACACGTGTGACAGCAAGCTGTTGCCAGAGCCTTGACACTTGACTTTCATGTAAGAGCTGCATGACACCCCATGTTATCCCGAAACGCTACTGGCCCAACACAAGGTTGAACGCTAGCCATGCCAGTCTGGAAATTTGCCTGGTAAGCTGCCAGTTAATTCGGCAAGCATGAGTTGAACTCCGATTGAGGGGTCTTTCGTTGCCTGAAGGTGAAGAACCTTGCAGGCCGAACAGGCCAGTCCCCCGCACTCCAGCAAAAACGGACAACGGCCCGAGATCGGACGGGTTTGGAAAAGAACGCAGATTTGACCCAGGTTGCTCCCGAATGCCGCTCTGTGTGAGTTCTCGCTTCTAGAAGGCACATTGTTCCCAAATGGAGAGAGTGGATGAGAACCGCAGGAAGAAGTGATTAACCGGCGAATCGGTGCTCGTCTTGTTGAAGTGGTGGATGTGAAGCACGACGAGCTCGAAAACCCCAAGCCTTCAGTGCTGTGCACATCATGCCTGTGGGGGTGGGGTGGGGACGGGCGGGGGCGGGGCGGGGCGGGGGCGGGGCAGCTGGGGCGGGGGTGGGGCGGGGCGGGGTGGGGCGGGGTGGGGCGGCCTTGATGATGCTCAATCTTTTGGGGTTACGAAACATGTTCAGGTTTCCAGGTCGCACCTTAAGCCGGCCCAACAGGGCCTTTGAGACTTTGTTGTTTCGCGCGTAGGTTGGCTTTGAACCTCAAGTCCAAGCCCTTGAGAATCCTTGGCTTTTTGCTGTACCAGCAAGCTTTGACGCCATTCCTGAGCCTCCAGGCCGCACACTTAATGAGCAAATTGCAAATTGTCCGTTTTTGAACCGAAGGTCAGTTTCAGTGCATGCTGCCATCGATACCGACAAGACTTTTTTCCACAATTCAATCAGACACTTGCCTTTGTCGGAGGCCTCGGTAAGCAGGCTTTTCCTCGGCATGCGGGGCTCACCATTCCAAGGCTGAGTTCAAATTGACATGTGAGGCAACGAGCGACCCCGAAACCCAACTCAAACCTATCATCAGAGTCTGACGAAGTCTCCCGAGCTACACCCCCCCATTCCCTTCTACCTGCATGACGCGCACGCAAGCCACCAGCTGGTGCTTCAGCTGCACAAGCTTTCGTACGTGGGGAGGGCATTATGTCAGGATGCAAGGCATACTTTCTCACACAATGTCCATAGCTGGGATGATACGGGGCCATGGGAGGCGTTGCGCGGTTTTCTACAAACGTTCAGACGGGCAGCAGGGCTTACACCAGTTCTTTTGTGCTTGATCAGGCCCTGAAAGTAAAACACTCCAAAGCCAAAAGAGGAACATTGCGCAAATTTGCAAACGTAGCGTCAGACCGTGGTTCGGAGGGCAGGAGGCCGCAAGCCCCCTGAGGGCCTGCATGAGACGTGGCACGTCTGAAGCAGAGAGCTACCAACCCCCGAGCAATGATACGACAGGAGGTTCGAATAGAAATGACACTTGATGCATACAGGAGCAAGCAAACACAACTTGCCTTTCGAAGGGTAGGGGATCAAAAAAATTTATTTGGGATCAAAAAAATTTATTTCCAGGCGGATCAAAAAAACTTATTTGGGATCAAAAAAAATTACTGAAGGCTTCGAAGGCTTCTTGCAAGCGGAGCGGAGGCTGTAAACGCTCAGAAATGCAGCAGTTCTGGCCGTTTGCAAGCTCTAAATACCGAAAAATACAGCATTTATGCGGGAACTACTGAAAATAGCAGCATTTCTGGGTTTCCAGAGAGGCAGATATTGTATACAGCAGTTCTGCGCTTTCAGAGGCTGGAAATACTGTACACTGCAGCATTTCTCAGTTTCCAGAGGCTGCAAATACTGAAAATAGCAGCAGCATTTCTGCGATTTCAGAGGCTGGAAACACTGTAAGTAGCAGCATTTCTGAGTTTGCAGAGGCTGCAAATCAATGCTGGCATCTTGGCATTAGAAGTTTCAAACAGATGCGTATACTCTGAAGCATGCATATTATGGCATAATATAGTATATTCTTGTATAATAATACTATTGTATGACATTGTGTATTCTTGCATATTATTGTATATTGGTGTATATATCGTTGAGTATTATTGTATTGTCTTGTATTATCTTGTACTTTTGTATAATGTTGCACATTGTTGCATATTATTGAATGTTATTGCATGTTTTTAAAATTCTTGTATATTCTTCTCATTTTTGTAGATTGCGTTATATGATTGTATATTATTGAATTTCTTTGTATATTATTGCAGGTTGTTCTATATTCTTGTATATTGTACATTCTTGCATATTATTGTATATTATTGTCTACTATTGTATATTATGGAATATTTTTGCATATTGTTTTATATTATTGTATGTCATTGTACGTCACTGCGTTTTTGTGTTTTCTATATTGCTGTATATGTTTTGCATATTTTTGAGAATTATTGTATATATTGTTGTATATTGTTGTGTTTTTTGTATATTATTGTATATTGTTGTCCATGATTGTCAATTACTGAAATTATTGTAAGTTATTCTTGTTTTACGTGTATGTTGCTGCATATTTTTTGTCTATACTTGTATATTGTTGAATTTTTGTGTATTATTGTATTTTATTGTCTCTTTTTGTAATATATTCTTGTATAGTATTGTATCTTATGGTGTCTTCATGTTTTTTTTGCAAAAAAGTGCTCGCATCCTGGGATTGGAAGGATTCATGTGCTTTGAAGCAAGCTTGCCCGGACTAAGAAAACAGCGGGGAGGTTGGGGGAGGCGCAGCCCCCCCCCATTTGCAAACACAACGCTCAAATCATTGGTTTGGAAAGGATATTCATATGCTTTGAAGCAAGCTTGCCCGGCTTTAACAAACAGCGGGGGGTTTGAGGGGGGGGGGGGGGGGGGGGGGACGCAGACCCCACCCCATTTGCAAACACAATGCTAGCATCATGTGTCCGGAACGTATTCATACGCGTTGAAGAAGCTTGCCCGGCGCCAGACAAACAATAAATATGTATTCTGCATTATGAATTCTATAACAAATACCATAAAGATATACATATATGCTTTGTTATTACGATTTTATTATATTGTTATGATACAAAGGTATACTATACGATATTGTGTTCTATGATACTCCGTTCCATGATATTATGTTGTTATTCTTTGTTTTAATATATACACATACTTATATATATATAGATATATATATATATATATACATATTATAACATATGATGTTATGTTATGTTTTCCTACTTAACTAAATATACCATTATGACCAAAAACACATAAATAAAAACAAAATCTGACCACGGGACCGGGAAACCACGGGACCAGAGGACTGGAGGACCAGAGGACCACGTGACCAGAGGACCGTAGGACCACAGCACCAAGCAACCAGAAGCCACAGCACCAGAAGATTAAGGGACCAGAGGGCCAGAGGACCTGGGGCCAACGTTAGCAAGGAAAACAAGCCAGGGCAAACGCTAGGCAAAAAAAACACCGGGCCCGTTGTTGGGGGAGGGCCCCGCCCCCCATTTGCAAACACAATGCTCGCATAATGGGTTTCAAAAAGATGCGTATGCTTTGCAGCAAGCTGGCACGACTTCGTCCTTGCTTTCTTTCTTTGCGCTATTTTTTTTGATTCCTTGCTTCCTTCCTTCCTCCTTCCTTCCTTCCTTCCTTCCTTGCTTCCTTGCTTGCTTGCTTCCTTCCTTCCTTCCTGCCTTCCTTCCTTCCTTCCCTCACTCCCTCCCTCCTCCGTCCCTCCCCTTCCCTCTCTCCGTCGGAAGAACAGAATAAATTATTTCTTGATCCTAAATAAATTTTTTTGATCTTAAATAATTTTTTCTTGATCCTAAATAAATTTTTTGTTGATCCGCATCCCCCTTTCGAATGGGGCATGGAGAAAGGTTCGGAATCCAGATTGCTCGTAACGCTGGAAAAGAAGCAAACACTGGACCCCGACGAAGCCTGGATGCTTCGACGATTTAAGCAGTCTCATTGTTCAGACAGGAACTCTCATGATGCTGCACAGGCGAGAACTTGTACGAGTAAAACTCGCCTTGACGTCCTCGAGTTCGGGCGAGTTCGTCTCTATCTGCGTGGACCATTCCGGCATGCATGTTCCTGAGCCGGTGTCCAGGTCCAGGCGCTTGAGTCTTAGGCTTTCGCTGACACGACAAATGCTCAGGGGTACTGAATGACTAGAAAAGGCTGACATGCCTGCGAAACGGACTTTCCGCATGCATGCGGGCAGAGAGTCCAAGGGAGGCGACGTGGCTGCAGCCGTAAATAATTTCCGACGCCGTTTTTCGCACAGAGCTGATCACCTGAAGCAATCTCCAGGCATCATTGGGCTTGTGCAACTGAAACTTATGTCTTCTTCAATTGCAAAATCCCAAGCCTTCCGTTCTTGTATCGGAGCCTTTGGAAAATCGCATACCAGTGTCTACAGAACACAGTTGCCTCGGGCGACTCGTCCTCTTTCAGTGGTGCCTTCGGCTACCCTCTCCCCAAGATTCTAAGATTCGTGTCGCAGTTGACAAGGATCCCGATGCAAAAGAGCTCGAAACAAGGAGGCTGGCTTGCAAAAAATCCCATGTTACCCGGGAGAGGGCAGGGATCGGGGCAGTGGCCGGCCTGATCCCCTGGGCAGGCGAGCGGGGCTTCCACGAGGCGCTGGAGGCCATGGGAAATGGTCCACTCTTGCTCCATGCCTCTCAGGCAGCGTTAGGATTCTCACGATCATGAAACCATACTGCTGCGTATATCTGCGTCCCAGGTGCTTTCTTGGCAGGCCACCTGCACGGGTGAGTGTAAGGAAACAGAGGAAGCTGATGGGTGTAGGGGCTTGCACTCGTATGCGCTTTGTCTCTGTGCTGAGGGACTCGGTTTGCCTCGAAGAACTTGCTTTACTGACTAAGCCGTGATAGACCACTGCCAGGAACTATCAGGAAGTCTATCTATGTCTGTCCTGCAACAGGTCCACGATTCCTTCCATCTCTGCAGGGTATGTTTCTGTGGGATCCGCATGGTCCTCTACAAGCCCACCCCTGATTCTAAGAAGGAAAACTTGAAAGGGGTATTGATATGAAGTAGGGTATATATTTCTTGTACCCCCAAAAGGACACCAGCTATATACACTCACCAATATTAAAAAGGAACCTTATATACACTCACCAAAAACAGAAATATAAACCCTGCTTCATATGTCAAAACGTCAAGGTCTGGCTATTCGGCCGAGAGGCCAAGGCCTTGAACTCCGGTGATCTCATGCTTGGGGCTCAGCAACTGATGGAACGTTTACACTTCTCCCTGACCACCCAAACAGAAAGAGACCGACTGCCCACCTCCTCCACGCGGCCACGCCCCCCGGCTGAGAGACACTTGCTGGTGTGGATATTCACGATCTTCCTGGGGCCGGGTGGATAAGTGGGTACGAAGGATGGTTCAGCCTGCTAAGGATCATTATGCAGGCGTATGCAGAAAGCACCATGCCACTCGGGAAAAACGGGCCCTGCTTCTCGATTAATGCACATCGTATACACGACTGTCCACCTCACACGATCTGGGCGCCGCGGCTTCTTGGCGGGGTCCCAGGAAAGTTGGGCTTCAAGCCTGCTTGCACTGCTCCTGGAGTTGGCCACTTGGGGTGCAGGCTAAATGGTCCAGGGTTCGGATGAACCACAACATCCCGATTTGTGCCCGGATATTTCCCCTCAGAAAGCCGCAGACTTCACAAAGCCTGCAACAACCCTGGCCCCGAGATTTAGGTGTTGACTGAACCCATCAATCAAGCGCAACCGTCCGTCCAAAACCAGCACCGTAGCCCAAAGGCCTGAGCTCGAACCCGGTACTGGAAAAAGGCTCCACCGTGATCTTCTCGAACTCGGACTCCTCTTCTTGGTGTGTTTGGGCATGGGGTGGGGGGGGAGGGCGTTTCGGGCGTCTTGACAAAACCCCCTACAAGAAATTGTGCTCGACAAGCCAGGCGTCACTGCATTCCAGGTGGAGGCCGGTTGTGAAGGCGCGGTCTGGTTTCTCTGTTCTTGCCTCTGAATCTTCCACTTGGGCTATGCATGAAGATGGGTCCAAGGCCGTTTGCATGCACCCTCCAGTATGAACATGGAATGCTGCAACATGACGGTGTGTCGTCTGAGGGCTTTTGTGGCATTGAGCTGCCCCCCCCCCCCCCCCCCCCCCAAGTAAAGTTTGTCGGGCTATTCAGGACTGCGTGACGGTTTGGGGGTGTAACTGTGCAATGGTGGGTGGGTATAGGGCAAGTAATTGTGTGTGGGTAATGAATGGTGGGTGGGTAATTAACGGTGGGTAGGTAGTTGCTGTTCTGTAGGCAATTAATAGGTAATTCATGTTGGGTAATGGTGGGAAATGGTGGGAAATGCGTGGGAAATAGTGGCATTCGTGGTAATGGTGGTAATGGTGATAATGGCGGTAGTGGTGGTCATGGTGGTCATGGTGGTCATGGTGGTAATGGTGGTGATGGTGGTAATTGTGGTAACGGTGGTAATGGTGGTCATCGCCCGGGCATCTCCTTTTAAGTCAAGTCTTCCGGGTGTCGCAAGAATATTTCGTGTGACGCGCCGTCAACATCAATTGCCGGGCCTCCCTGTCCCTGTAAAACTCAGATGAACTCGTCGCTTTCGAAATCATATTAAGTCGGCCGTTACAAGAGTGACAAATTCAACACAAAAAGGAGGGTGGAACGATCTTATCCGTGGTTACCATCAACAAGCTGAGTCCAACCCTCTTGGACGCGAAGAGGGGCTGCGTCAGCAGCATGCAGACAGCACAAGGCTCCGACGCAACGGACAAAGGGATACAAGTATTTAAGAAGAACTAGTTGATGCACGGAGTTGGCGCAGGAAGTTTTAACGACCAACGCGGTTGGAACCTTGCCGCCTCTGTCACATCGGTGGGGTGACTCTCGGTTATTGTTAGCCTCTCCGATTGGCATTTCTGCCTAGAAGAACCAGGCGAGAAGAATGAGAACCGATCCAACGGGTACTCACGTACGATTTCGGCATACAGGCCGATGAGCCCAAACAGCTCAATGTTACAACGGGTCTACTTCGACCCTAAGTTTTTTGTATGTTTCTCAAGCTGTCGTCTTTATGCTTGGCATGTTGCTCAATGCACACATATTCAATGGCGCTCCTCACTGGTTTAAGCATGCAAAGGGAGTAGAGCGCCATAGGAAAACGTCTACGTTCCATCTTGCAACCTTGCGTGTTTAAGTTTTGTGCAGGGTCGTGGGCGTGCCCTGATCAGATCACTTCCGTTGCTGCTTTTTGAGCAAGGCATGTTCCAAATCCAGCCCCCATTTGTGGCTGTCTCTCTAACGTGTATTTAGCTTGTTTAGTGAGTGTCTGCAGTGCATACATTCAAAGGCAGGCACACATTCAAACGCTGGCGTGCAGTCCCTGACTCCCTCTCCCTCTCCCTCTCTGTGATACTGGTAGCGTCGTGTTCCATATGTCCAGGGCAGGGCGTGCAGCGACATTCCCATACTTCAGTTTGATCACAAAAGCTCCTACTCTCGGCTCCTGGGTCGCCATTCAAAACGAAGGAAGAGCTATTGCCTGTGGGTACTGTCAAACGTGCCATGCAACCTTGCCGTTTCAAGTACCCATGGTCCAATTGCTGACATCCGTAGCGCTTTCTGTCTTTCCCACGGTCTGCGTAGTCGTCTGTCCGTCTCTACCTATCTTTCTCTCTCGTATGTGATACTTGCACGTAGCCAATGTCATCCCAAATTTCCGGCCAGCACTGAAGTTTCCATGCCCTACTGCAGCCAAAACTCAAACTTCTGATTGTTCTCATCTGCGCACTCGCCCATGACGACGTTGATATTAACCCCATGCCCATTCGAATCCATAGTCAAGCACTTGTGGTCCTCCTCACTACGAATGTATGCAGTGTCCTCATCAAAATACCACTTCTGGTTTCGTCCATCGTGGCACTCTTGCATGTACACATTATTCGTCCCAAGGTGGTAGTCCAAGCACTTGCCATCTTCGAGGCTCACGAGGTTGCCATCCAGCATGTACCAGTCCTGATTTCTGTTCTCGTGGCACTCTTGGTTCAGGTACACATTCCTCAGCAGCTCGTGGAACACAGTGGAACACCCCAAAGGCTGACAAGCACGAACTTCAGTTCAGGCATGTGCCTCCTAAGCTATTTGCCTTGCTCATTGCGCATGGTCACAAAGCAGGATGTGTCGTTGCAGCAGCAGCATCATCAGCAACAAGTGGGAACACGAGTACGAGAGTTAAAACAGAGAAACTAAAGCATAGCATCGCCAAAACCAGCCGAATCCAACCTTGGGCCCCTCAGTCGCGCGGCCTTCCGGCCAACAGGGAGGCGTCCAGGCAATAACCGTTGGACGTCACGTTGATTTTCCACGGAGTGATGCGGTGAATGCCTAGTTGCAACTGATCTGGCTTTAGGGGACGTTACGGCTCAGAATTCTGAATTTTTTTTTGAAAGGGATCCCGCCTAACAACTTAGAATCCCACCTCTACCTCTGGAAGCAGACCAACCCCCCTCCCCTCCCCTCGGACCCTGCACTGGGACCTCGCTTGAGACGGCGTCCGCTGCGGGTTCAAGGTTTCGCGTTTTTGGGTCGGATGCTCTCTGGCGTCTTTATCCTGCACCCGCCGGCATTCCGCATCTGCAGCCCGGCAGTGCGGACGGGAAACCGTGAGCTGACGTGCACGTCCTGTGGCTTAAATTGTTTAGCGGCCCGGCTGCCGAGACGGCACCCGCAACCGTTTACAATTAACATTGCACGAGATGTCGTCAAGAGTCTTGTAGCAACCGCCTACCTGACCTTCCCCGGAACTGTAGCCGGCACCAACCTGACCGCCACACCCAAAAAGGCCGTATCTCTCACTGCGAAATCAAGGAAAGAACGAGGCTAAACCTTTCTTACGGTCGTCAGGGCTTTAAGGGCCTAGGGTTTGGCAGGGCGTACGGAGGGTTTTTTTAAAATCTTGGTGCCGATAGTGTCCTTCGAGCATGTCAGCGTGCGTGTCCGCACGCACAATGATGATAATCACCAGCACCCCGTGATGATGTTGATTGGATGATTGCCCAATAAAGCTAATGGTACCGGGCTACTGCATCATCAACAACGGACCGGCAACACAGAGCCACTGAAGCCTGCTCAGACTTGAAGCCTTGGCCCTCGATCCTTAAACCTTTAAGGATCTCCGAAGGTGCTCATGCAGGTTCCTTCGCTCACGCTGGTGATCGTGACCGCGCCCGGGACAGAGACGGTCTGGGTTTGGAGCTTGGCCGTGGCGGGGCTTGAGGGATTGGCAGCATGTCAATCCCTTCCCTCTAAGTACTCCACAGGGAGTATGCAAGGATAATATGCAAGGATCATGATGACGAAGCTATGAGTAGTCTGGAGTGTTGTGTAAGGTTCCCTATCCAACTATATATGTGGCGGGCTTGGAGGACATTTTCGCTTTATTGCAGACGTCGAAGTCTTGAACCTCAGAAAATAAAGCAAAGCAATCCAGGGCCTTGTTCTGCTGGCTTTAAGGCTTCATAGGGTAGATGGTGAATCCAACTGCGTGCAGAGCACAAACTTCCCTTCACCTGAACATGTTTGAATATTGTTTCCCAGGCCCCCACAGACCAGACACCCACAGAGCCAGAGAGTCAGAGAGAGCCAGACAGACCCAGAAAGACCCAGAGAGAAGCGGGAGCTGGTTTTGAGGAACACGGAGGCTTCCGCAGGGCTGAACAGGCAAACCCTAAAGGTCAGGATCCAGGACGGACTGCTCTTCCTGAGGCGCTACACCCGGTGTGCTCGGGCGCCCGCCTGAAGCACGTGCGACTTTTTGCGTCGAGCGCACGAAGCTCGGAGCAAAACGTGCGGTTGACCCATGCCCGGCGAACCCTTCTGTTACGTGCGTCCTCTAACCAGAGTGAACGCACTTTTTTTGTCTGCTTCTGCCATTGGCCTTGAGCCAGAAGGTCGATGTTCATGCTATTATACGCTAACCTACCTACCCTATGGCCCTCACTTCCAGTCACGCCTCCCGAGCAAGAAGCCGATCGCTGCTTCTCACGAGTGGTGAGGCATGGGTAGGTAAACCTTTCTCTTACGTCTTCAGAGGAAGCGAAGGTCTTCCCGGATTTTTTGGATCAGATTTGAATCCAGCGGCTGCGTCATTAGGTCAGAAACATATTCCCCGTAGGGACTTTTGCCAATTGATCCGGCCCGAAGCAACCACCTCTTGAACCCAGAGGAAGCAGGTTTGGATATGCTTGACACGTCCGAGACCCTTCGGCTTCCAATGGATATGCCAGCGGCGGCATCCATGTTGATCACAACAGGGCAACGGGTGCCCCAATCAGCCAGCGTTGCTTGCTTTCCCAGGCAAGCACTCGAGGTTGATATGAGGCCATAGTGTTCGGCTTTTTCTCTGGGCGCGATTACGGCTTGACCCTTGGCCGTGGCTTTCACGACAGCTGGCCCAGCTGCGCCACAGTGCCAGTTGTTGATTTTCTCGTACGCACGCATCCTGCGTGGTCTGCGATATCTCCCTGCCCGTTTCAGCAGGTTCCAGTGATACTGCGTTGGCTCCTTGAGCCCTTTGGCCAACTCCCTCACTTTTCGTAACATGTCTGGCCTGTCACTCGACAAGTAGCCTATTCTCATAGCTATCGATCTGTAGAGCGCCGTGTATTCTGCTGACAAAGGAGTGTCATCCTCATCTCCGGTGCTTTTCACAAGTGGAGTTGACACTGACGTAGCAGCTCCCAAGTTCAAATGTGCCAGCGCCAGATTTACGTGGCGGGGATTGGCTTCTATTTCGATCCCTTTGTCGCTCCACGTGATCAATCTGTTCAGGACAGATAGACTGTGGACCATGTTTGGCAGGCTCGAAGCGGGCCGTGCCAATATGCCCCTTTCTTCTATGGCCCATGCCTTTTGAAGTGACTCGATTAGCCACTGGAGCTTGTTGTATCCACCAACGACTGTAAAGTCATCGCCATGTACGTTGCATCGCAAGCATAGTCTAAACAGGGGTTCGAAACACCCTGGACGAAGTCGAGGTCAACCATCACCTTCTTGATTGCATGCTCCCAATTGCTTGGCGCATCGCGTGTCCCGTAGAGACTACGTTTCAGAAGTCCAACTTTGTCGAGTCCTTTCCCGGCCTCTGGCGGAAGTTCAAACTAGGAGTCGCCTCCTGACTCTCCAGAAATGAGCCTTTTTCACGTCTCTGAAGGGGCTAATCCTTGACCCAACGTCATCCGTGCTGGATGATTGAGTATGCAGGTGTTCTCCACACCCTGTATAGTCAGGAACTCCATGAAGGTTTGACTCCATTTCAGCGGATGAAAGGACGTAAGCGGCAGATAGCGCTGGAAACCTTTCTACTTTCGGCGCAACACCCGATCCAAGCTGGAGTCAAGATGGCAATCTGGAGTGTGTCTGGGTATACGACTCCAAGGCACAGAAAAGATTATCGGCGCAAGTCAAGGGATCTTTGTGATCCAAACTATCAAGCAGAAGCCAGATGGACCCCCGATTTGGTCAAGGCAGTATGTGGTCTACCCTGGAAGACTTCACCCAGGAGTCCGGGGATGGAGCTCGACTGCCAGAACCGTTGGCAGTTAGAGCACTTATCGGCGAAGGGCTGCCGCCGCCAATCAGCACCCTTTAGGAGGCTCTACATCCGCCAAACGGATTTAGACAGCTTCGGGCACACTGCTGGGTGCGAAGCCTGCGCAGCTATACGGGAAGGTCGGAGTCGAGCGGGCATCAACCACACCGAACACTGCCGGAAAAGGATCACAGAAGCCATGAAGGAGACACAACAGGAAAAGCCCGACTGGAACGAGAAGTTCAACGAGAAACTGAAGTCTTTGACAAGGTGAACCAGGCGGCGCAGCTGCTTCAGCTGCACCCGCCGGGGGTCAAAAGAGAAAGAGCGACGGCGGGGGAGACGAAGGACGTGCTGAGGTAGCGCCTACTGAGGAGAGGTCTGAGCCCTAGAAGCGCAAGGCGCCTGAGGATGCTGAAGGAATGATGTAAGAGCTCATCGCCCAGGAGCGTGATGATTTCATTGCCAGTATTCAAGGGAAGGAGCACCCACATGCGATCTTGAAGACGGTCTGTGGGAGGAAAAGTTCTACGATGAGAACACTGGCAAGGAGTTGCCAGCCGATGGTGTCCGAGCTGCACGCGTGGAGGAGATCGAGGTGATTAAAGCCATGGGAGTACGGGAGCCCATACCCAGGCCTACTGGAGAAAAGGTCATAGGGACTCGATGGGTGGACATCAACAAGGGCGACAAGCTCCACACGAAGCCAGGCTGGTAACGAGGACCCTGCTTGGACCCGATGGGAAAACCACTCAGATGAACGAGCATGGAGAAGTCTGCGTGCTCTCGATTTCACAGTTCGCACTAGACCCTGCACTGTCGATAAACAGACCTTTCAGCTTCACCATTGCTCTGCCCACGGCGGTCACCTTTAGGCGACTCTTCAGGCACGACTTCTCCACTAGAGCCGTTTCGCGCAGCTAATAAGGAGAGGGCTTTGATGGAAGCCTCTTGGTCGTTCTTCAAGACGAGTTTCTTGTAGCCAAGAGACGCCAGATCCTTGAGGACAGCTCGCTCAGGAAAAGTAGATCCCAGCGACGATCGCGAAGGACAACGCTTGGGAGACGGGCACGTCGGACCGCTCATTGAAGTACAGGTAATCCACACTGATTACTGGAACAGTGGACAACTGTCCTGAAGCCTTATGCTGGAAGCTTCTTCCTCTTCCTGCAACGCAAGCACAGCACCAGCTTCTGTAAGGTAAATGGGATACCTCGTGAGCAGCTATCATTTCTGGTGCGGGCCTATCGGGTCTAGCTAAGGGTTGCACCGATTGTCCTTCCTCTCGACCTGTGGTTGGGAAGCAGCTGAAGCAGCCTCTTGGTCGGCTCTCTCAGCTTCCCCAACATACTGCGAACCTGGAACTTTGGTCGTACTAGCTGGGCTCTGTTCCTCTCCTTTTGCTTTGTGCGTCGGGCTCTTTTCCTCTTCTGTTGCTTTGTGCGTTGGGCTCCTTTCCTCTTCCTTTGCTTTGCGCGTTGGGCTCTTTTCCTCTTCTCCTTCAGATCCTATGCACAGTGGTCAGGAAACCCACTACAGGTGGGAGCCTAGGCAGGTGAAAAGCGCTACCTTTTCCTACCGCGCCAAAATGGCTCTTGCGTGAAACCCTGAATTCCTTTGGCGACCCGTTCACCTTGAAGACCAAAGGCCTGTCCTTGCTACCCTTCATGTGGATGGCGGCCTTCGCCCCCTTTAGGACGATCGTATGGCCTTGCTTCAACACCTGTGTGGCGCTGAGGAGGGCTCATTGCACCGAGGCCACGCAAAAGAGGACCTTGAAGGAAAACTCAACGACACCACGGCGGTTCCGAGGTTGGGCAACCAACTTCCATCTGCAGGCCGGCAACCAGAGGGACCTTCGGGCAATCCCCACTCCAGGTGCTTCACCCATTCCTTTGTGGCTTCCGAAGCGGTAGCTCAAAGGAGTATACCACAGCATTTCTTAGCTCTTGCGGCCTTGCGTCTCGCGTAGCACAGGTTCGGAACCCTGTTGCTTCCTCAGAGGCGATTGCCTCCTGCACCTTCCTCCGCTGGTTCAGGGTGAGCTAGGGAAGGGTTCTCCGAACCACAGCCTCGGAGTCGTTCGCAAAGGTGAACACCACCTCCACCAGGTTCTCTTCCGAGGTCTTTGCTTTTGCTTTTGGCGGTGGCCCTTCGAGCTCGTTGGGTCGGTCAGACCCCTGCACACTCTTTGGCATGGACCGAAGCGGTCCTGCGCCTGGGCTTCCTCTTCTCTCTGCGGCTCGTCGGCTCTTCCCTCGGCTTAGAATTGAGTCTCTCTCTTTGGGCATCTCCAGCTCGTCCTCTGAATGCTCGCGATCCTCAGCTCGGCCCCTCATAGTGGCCTTCTCTCGACGCGGCGGCGCACTCACCTGAGAGCCGTGCCGGGCATCAAAGGACGCTCATCCTGTTTGCGTGCCCTCTCGGGAACATTGAACCTCTTCTTCAAGGTTTCCTCTCGGCGCATCCGGGTTGGCCTGTCCACTCCTAAGGCTCTGCCGGCGCGGCCCCTTGTGGCAGCTCTTGTCTTTCTTCTTTGCAAGGCGGGGGTTCCGCCCCTCAGCCTTGCCGAAACTCTATCGGCTTGACTTTTCCTCATCAGCTCTTGGTCATCATCCTCAGCTTGATCCTCGCCCTTAAGGGCGCCAATGAAGCCCACTTCTTCCTCATCTCGCTCTTCGGGCCCTGGACCCAATTGCGCGGGGGGCCCCCCCAATTAAACAGATGCTCGGATTAAGTCGGAGTTGCCTGCAATTCGGCTGTATAGATGCAAAAGTTGGATCTCAGCACGGTTGGGGAGGGGTGTGGTTTCACCACTGACGACTCCATCGTTCCCCCCCTGGCGATAGTTGTCCGTCCACTCATAGCGTGGAGCACGGTTCTTCTCGCCTTCCCCCTTTCCTTTGGCTTTCGGCGCTGCACTTTTGGCCTGCGCCTCACGTGATCGCCGGGCGTCCTCATCCTTCGCCAAATAGGCTCTCTCTGCTGGTCCTTGATTGGCACGAAGAAGACTAAGCAGCCATTCTCTGTTTTCATCAACAGACCAGGAAGAGCTGTTCTTGATTGGCTCAGCGCCGGTGAACGTGACCAAACGATGAATGGTGTCGGACTTCGCAAGGATCTGGACGAAGTCCTCTAGACTCATGATGGCCCCGATCCAAGACACAACGAAGGCAGGATCATCCGGCGCGGTCGCAAGAGCTCCAATCATCTCCTGTGGAGTAGCGTTTAGGAAGACGAGCCTGGTGGTAGACAGAGGGTCTTTGGCCTGGCGTACAGCCCCAGTGCCATGAGAGCCGACACCCAGACGCATTCATCATGCTGTTCACCACGGCTTCGAGCTGTTTTGCTTCGATCCTGGCACGATTTTGTTCTTTCATGCTCGCCTTAAGGCAATCCTCGGCAGTGGCGTAGGCCATGCTAAAACGACGTTTTCTCCTGATGTGCCTGTAGCCATCGCCTGCAACAGGAATGGCCTTCGTGACAGGTTCATCACAGAAGGTCACCGTCAGTGGCTCTATCTTGGAAGTTGTCTTGCCTACCCAGGTCCTGGAAGAAGGTTCTGGTGCAGTCTTTCTCCAATTCCACGCCACTGCGGCAAAGCGAGGGTCCTCCACAATATTCCGCTGAACAGCGAGCGCAGGCACCTTTTAGGAAGTCGTAGCATACCCTTTTGGACTGTTCAACCTTTTTGGGGAGCTAGCGTTACTGCTGCGAGAACGACTCGTGCTTCTTGAGGGTGATCTTCCTCTCTCACGGCCACCTCGGCTAGAGGGGCGAGACGGACGCGTAGGTGCCGGGGCCGGGACCCCAAATTTGTGTGGGACTTGGCAATCCTATCTCGGTTCTTCCTAACTCTCTCCCTGGTGAGCAAGTCCCTAATTGATTGGAAAAGGAAGGAGTAGGTGTGAGAGGGGGATCCCTCCTTGGCACGATCGTAAATTTCTAAGTCATATTTCATACGACTAGACTTCCGAATCTGCCTGAGCAGGATGTCTCGAAGCACCATTTCCTCCGGCACGTGACTCATTCCTGCACTGACACTCTCCCAGTTGTGAAGGAACGAGGTGAGATCGTCTCCAACCATGTTAACCTTCAACAGATCCTCAACTGAGTAGAGTGAGCCCACTTCTTCGTTAGTTTTGAAGTGTTGTTCAAAGAGGTAAAGAACCTGACGACCCCTGACAGATCTCGTTTGGGCAGCCTCGGTTTCCTTGAAGTTCAGGATGTGTCTACCTACCGAGGTCTCCTTTCGCAACCT